TTTTGAAACGAAATTTGACGTTACGTGACGTCAGTTGTCAGTTTCTGATTTATTTTGATCGTTATAGTTCGTCTGTGATTCAAATACATTCATTCTGCCGGCAAAACAATGACGTCACATCAACTATGTTTTGAAACGTATTCATGATGATTCAAAACTAGCTTGAAGTTAATTTTGAAACGGAATTTGGCATTACGTTACGTCAGTTGTCAGTTTCTGCTTTATTTTGATCGTTATAGTTCGTCTGTGATTCAAATACATTCATTCTGCCGGTAAAACAATGACGTCACATCAACTATGTTTTGAAACGTATTCATGATGATTGAAAACTAGCTTGAGGTTAATTTTGAAACGGAATTTGGCATTACGTTACGTCAGTTGTCAGTTTCTGCTTTATTCTGATCGTTATAGTTCGTCTGTGATTCAAATACATTTATTCTGCCGGTAAAACAATGACGTCACATCAACTATGTTTTGAAACGTATTCATGATGATTCAAAACTAGCTTGAGGTTAATTTTGAAACGGAATTTGGCATTACGTTACATCAGTTGTCAGTTTCTGCTTTATTTTGATCGTTATAGTTGATAAAGTGCTGAAAACTTTTCATCAAATAGGTAAAGCTGGAATATTATAACCTGCACAAAAGACCACTGTTATTGTTTGGCGGTCAGCAGATAGTGTAATTTCCTATAACTTTCTGCAACCGTCCCAAACCACATCACGGTTCTTGAATATGACCACTTGGTGATCCAAACACATCGACGAAATGTACTGAAAATTTAGTCACCAGCAGCCGACACTGATCAACAGAAGATGCCTGATCATGCTCCACGACAACGCCCGTTCTCACGTTTCACAAATCACCGTCCGAAAATTAAACCAACCTCCCCAGATCTCCCGCCAAACGACCACATCTTTTCAAGCACTTCGTTAACTTACTCGTTAAATAAGTATTCACTCAGAGAATACAGTTTGAAGCAGACATAAAAACGAACAACTTTTCAAACAACCTAATAGATACAACTTAAAATTAATTTATGACCTTCCCATTCAGCTCGTTTGATACGGTTCAAGGTTAAAGAAAAATTCGCTTCATCAGTAAAGATAACCCATAAACCAGCATGGTGACCTTTCATTTTGAAATTACTATCAAGTACATAGTTACTAAGTTGTAAACTCGATTGTAAAATATATAAAACAAAATTTCATATCAGTTATGAATAACAGTTGCTCCCTTTTGGTAATTTATTTCCATTTTAAGTTCCTGTGAATTATATATGTTGCTATTTCATAACGAATGTTTGAAATACGAGGAAAAAGTGATGTTATCCAATGTTCATATGTTTAAAAGTACCTCATTGTTTCGAATGGGATTTTTCTTCTTCTTCTACACATATTTGTGTAAGCCACCACATTCTTTGTACAAAGATGGAGCTGTGATTAAATCCAACACATCTTAATTTCACGGCGGGAACAAAATCCGGCCTGGTACTGCGACAGACACCATCAGTGGTATATTGCCAGGGAATTATGAGAAATAGGTTGAATATAGATAATTAGTTGCATTTAATGTGGCATTACATGACCTGGAAAATGTNAAATACATTATTATATACGCCGAACGATTACAAGTTTGAGGTGAAGGAGAGAAGTTATCAAAAAATGGCCCGGATGGAAGTATTAGATATTAATGGATCAGGTATTTTTGAAATATTGCCTTGTGTGGAGGGTTCTTAGTGGAATCGTAGAGGATCGAAGTTTTTTTGATGGAATGAGCTATCTATATAAAAAGGTTAATTTATTCAACCGTCCACATTTTCAATGAAAAATCATTCCAAGGGTCTGTTTTATTATAAAGATGTTTTCTTATTATCGTATACAATTTGACCAATGATTTTTTCTAATTCTAGATCACAGTTCGAAAACATTTTTTCTCGATGTTTTCATGTGTAATACTCACATTTCATTCAAGATATGATTCCCTTCGAAAAATCTCCATTGAAAAATGATGAATACATTGACCTTGATAATACTTGATGATGAGTTGGACCGGTCCAACTGATATAACTACCATGTAGAAGAACGTATTGTTGTGAAACATTTCCTTGGAAAAAATAACGCAGGCCGCCACTGACCGTCGTTAATCAATTGTGACGTGTCAAAGATCACAGGCAGCCAGCCGGCGCTTCGAGTTTGTTCGATGTTCGCGCCGTTTCGATGGAATTCCGGCGACTTCTCTACCACCTTTGAGGACTTTCGATTGCCGTATATAAACGCTACCCACGAGCATATTAATATAGTCAAATTTCGCGGACAGTGCGGTATAGAGCGATCTAATAAGGCGATAGACATTTGAATAATAGTTGAAGTTTTAGTTAAAGCGTTTGGTTGTACCTATTAACAGTGAAATAAAGTTAATTTTGATTACTGTACAGTGTAGTCAAGTATTGGTTTTTCCACTAGGAAATCGTAACAGTATCTTACATAAAATGTGTAGTGTGAACATTGTATAACGCCATCATGAATGGTGTTTCAAAAAATGTGGGATTGTATACCCAGTGGTTCAAAAATCATAACAAAAATGCATCATTTTCGAAAACACTTGATATTTCGGAGTGAAATAAATTCAGGTGGACAGATCGAAATTTTATATCATGTTTGGAATAACGTCTGAATCGCTAGGTATACTTAAAAAATCTCATATATTTTGGGAGCACCTTTTTAACAAAATCCAAATGCAGAAAGCAATATATCATTCCATTTGATAACAAAAATTGATACTAGGTCATCCTGTATAAAGAAGAATATTTCAGGAAAGTACCGTGAATTGATGTTATGCTTTTGTATGGAACTAGCGATCCGCCCCGGCCCTGCAAGGGGCAGTATTCTACAGAACTTCTTTATATACATCGTTCACAGCTTTTTTTTCAACGGACAATACAAGTATGTTTCTCTTGAAAGAGGGCAAACATAATGTGAAGTTGGCAAAAACAAACTATATCAAGTCTAAAATAAACCAGTCAGAAAACAAAACTAGAGAGACTTGGAAGATTATAAATAAAGAATTAGGAAGAAGCACAAACAACTCGAAAAAAACAATAACTCTTAAACATGATAATGAGTCTACAACTGACTCAGAGGAATTAAGTGAACTATTTGCTGAATATTTCNACCTAGACGCCAATCTCAATTGAGATAGACAAGTGGACTATATATGTGCTAAGTTAAATAGAGCATATTATGCCATAAAACAGCTGAAATCCTATTTGGATGAAACTGGCTTACTCAGGCCATGGCCTACCGACAGACATGATTGTCAGACATGATTGTCTGACAACCTGTTGAGTTCAATTTACAAATTCATAATTTCACATTATTCATGCAATCATCTCATATTATCGCAAAATTCTTACAGAATGTTATATGTTTTTAACCAATTTTAATCTTGACATACAAATACGAGGATCCTCTTTGTTACTCATTTGGTAACTTCATTTTAACCTCACTTTTAGTTCCCGATGAAGAGACAATAAACGCCTCGAAAGCTTGAACAGAAAAAAGAGTTTTACAATCGTTCTGCCTCTGACTGCTATACCCGATTCATTCCCTACGTTATTCATTAACTTAGCCAGTCGAGCTAACCCTTCTTTCTGTGTGTATATATGTATGTGTACACATATATATGTGTATGTGAACTCGGCCTTTCGCAGACCACAACTTGGAGAATTTTACATCGTAACTTGGGCCTGCATCCGTACAAAATTCAACTGATCCAGGAACTAAAGGTAAATGACCATAGGCAACGACTGGTGTTTGCTGAATGCGCTCTGGAACAGTTGGCAAGCGACTCCAATTTTCATCGAAAAATCATCTTTAGCAATGGGGCCCATTTCTGAATAAATGGCTACGTGAACTATTAAAATTGTCAAATTTGGGACGGCACCAACCCACATGAGATCCAAGAGCATCCAATGCACCCCGGAAAAGTCACTGGTGTGGATTTTGGTCTGGCGGCGTCATCGGTCCATATTTCTTTGAGAACGACGTTGGCCAGGCCCAACGATTATAGACATACAGGATTGCTTACTTACATATATCGCCACGTTAAACAAGCGCAGAGCAGATGTGACGTAACACTTGGCGACACTTTTAGTAACTGCCATAAGACTGTGTTATTTTAACATTTTTTGAGGATTATTTTCGGACAGTATTACATTGTTTTTGTATATTTTGATTAAATTTTTATTTAACTATATAAATTAGGTTTCTGAAACATTGAGTTTGTTATTGTGAAAGTCGTATTTTTTTTGTGCTTTTGGACATTTTTTAAACTGGTGTAACGAGTAGACGCCATATNAATCACTCCTAAAAATATAACCTCTTCAATTCAAATAAAAATAATATTTTAATAAGGGATTTACCTATAATTTGTTTATTTTAATTTGTACCGTGCAGTCCCGATTCAATCCAGTCACCACTGTTACGTCACGAGACCACGTGACGTGTCTAATAAAATCTCAAAAGTAAGCAATCCTGTATGTTCATATTCGTTGGGCCAGGCCATCGCTGTCAACGACGAGCACTATAGGTCGGTGATTACTAACTTATGAATTGGATCAACTGGACATCAACGACATGTGTTTTCAACTTGACGTATTGGATATTCTGCACGAACGATTTGAGGGCATGGCCATCTCAACTGGAGGTGATGTGAACTGTCCAATGAGATTTGACCCCGGTTGACTTTTTCTTGTTTGGTTTTCTTAAGTCGTAGGTTAGGTTGGATTTGAGGACCGCTGTGTTGTTTCCAACATAACCCATGCCATCGGTCAAATTCAGCCTGATTTATGCGCCAGAGTAATGGAAAATTGGACGTTTGGGAAGCGCTCCACCCAGAAAAGCTGTAGCGGACACTTTGTTTTATTCAAAATTAAAGATAGGGAGCGCTTCATGAAAGGTTCTTTATTATCAAATGAAAATAAACATATTTTTACTCACTTCTGTTAAGGTATCGGTTTCAGATTCTTCCCCTGCATCCCCAGACGCCGAAATTTGAGCGGAACCCATTCTTCGAATCAGTCGAAGCCCAACAAGAATCGTCTCATCGGCCGTACTCCCCAAAACTTTTCCGTAAACGTCTATCCCTGGACCACAAGGTCCATCGTTTCCGACAGAATCGTCTATAATCGGAGCGATTTCTGTCGGAGGCAAAGCATCGTAAAAAATGTTTCTTTGCGATTCTCTGGTTTCTGACTGAGCTCTGCTGGAACGCCTTTCTGGCTCAGAAGTAGATTGGTAACTGGATCGGTCCAAAGATCTCGCCATCGACCTTCCTCTGGCATTCATACTGATTTCGGATTTTGAACTCCCTCCACTTGATTGAGAGTTTTCCAAGAACCAAAATGTCAAACTTTGCTCACTGAAATGTGATTAACTCGCCTCACAGACATTTTGGATATAGAATACTGTAATTTGAGTATAGAAAATCATTCTTAAACAATTTGGGTGTTCTGAAGTGACAACCTTCGAAACCAATGCTGACATATTTCAAATTGAGTGACTCACAAGAGGCGTTTTCTGGCGCTCATGTATTCAAAACGTATTCGTCTGTGATTCAAATACATTCATTTTGCCGTTGAAACGATGACGTCACATCAACTATGTTTTGAAACGTATTCCTGATGAATCAAAACTAGCTTGAGGTTGATTTTGAAACGGAATTTGACGTTACGTGACGTCAGTTGTCAGTTTCTGATTTATTTTGATCGTTATAGTTCGTCTGTGATTCAAATACATTCATTTTGCCGTTGAAACGATGACATCACATCAACTATGTTTTGAAACGTATTCCTGATGATTCAAAACTAGCTTGAGGTTTATTTTGAAACGGAATTTGTCAGTTTCTGATTTATTTTGACCGTTATAGTTCGTCTGTGATTCAAATACATTCATTCTGCCGTTGAAATGATGACGTCACATCAACTATGTTTCGAAACGTATTGATGATGATTCAAAACTAGCTTGAGGTTGATTTTGAAACGGAATTTGACGTTACGTGACGTCAATTGTCAGTTTCTGATTTATTTTGATCGTTATAGTTCGTCTGTGATTCAAATACATTCATTCTGCCGTTGAAACGATGACGTCACATCAACTATGTTTTGAAACGATGCGCCGGAAGATATTGAACGTCAAAAGTCACAAAAATCAGTTTTTCGCTCAAGTATCAAATCTGCAATTTGGAAAACCAATATTTGGGTTTTCTGCCATCCCAGAGATAGCATCTTCATGAGGAAAGATGTTTTCTTATACTGAGGATTATTCTTCAAGGACACTTAAGTATAACAATGCAATCGTGGTTCAGCCTAATTTAAGTGATGGTAGAAGGGGTACAATTTTCTACCCCAACTATGATAATTCTCTCAGTTTCTTCTAAAAGAATGGTTACAAATTGAGACCAGTAGGTCTCAATTTGTACAAGACGTACAGTAGGAGAAGGGTGTGGGGAAAGAAAAAGAAATATGGATTATAAAATCTAAAACCAACTTTTGTCTTCATTGGACTTTTTGCCTTCTTCATTTCCTACACTCAGTTTTGTATCAATGATTTTTTCTATTACTAAAAAAAGTGAGCTGCGTTTAAAGTTAAATTTTCAATATTTCATGATAATTTACAGATGTGTAGTTCGAACCATCCACGATGAGGATTTGAAAACAAGTGATCACCCGAAACCTTGGTACAGTTTTGTTTCAATTCCATTTATGAATGTTTGGTACACAAACTGAAAAAGTGACTTTTCTATGAGTCAATACTGATTTTTGTCATTCAGTCTTCATTGCTAATATATATGCAAAAAATAAAAGTTTCACAAATGGAATTCATTCGAATATACTATCAAGATGGTTGAACAACATTCAAGAGAATGGTATCCGTCATTTCCAAACATATTTGAAAAAGAAATTTTGCATTTCTGTTCAAATCAGCCACCTCTAATTATTTAGTCAGAACTACCAACATCAACTTACCTTCTTGGACCTCGTTGTGTGTCTCAGTTTGAGATTGAGCATTCGAAACCACAGACACCACAGAAAATTCTGAAGCTGTCTGGGAGCCTACATCGCTCAGAGTATCATCCTTTGTTTCCATTACAGCCGATGAATATTCGGTTTGTGAGGATTCATCTCTGATTTCGTGGTCGCTGATACTAGGTTCTTCGATGGTTGGATCTTCGGAAGGCACTACTGCAGCAGTGGTGGGTTGTTTAGAAATGGGTTCTTCGGATACTGTTTTGCTTGGGATGGCGGGTCTCAAAGGTTGGCTCTATATGTAAATATAATTCGAATTAAATTTCATGCTTCTACATCTATAGGGTCTCTGTTCAATTATAACTTATTATTCAGATGAAGAACTACCATCCAATCGAGTTTAAGTCCTTTATGTAATACTTTACCGAAATATGATAAAGAATTCTTCTAGATTGAATTTGCAGCAACTTTAAAAAGTTTCCACCGCCTTCAAAAACCAGTGCTGCAAACTTGGGCAATATGATGTGCCAAAAACTGAGCATTATCGAACTGCTTATTCAATCCAAATCAAAAAAATTTGTCAGGTTTAATTATTCAATTAGAAAGCGCTACATTTCGGAGTTTGTAAAAAAAACAATTCGGAGAAGTATTATGTTATTTATTAGGAAAATAAACATATAAAAATTGAACAAAACAACTATTACAACAACTGTTCAAAGTGACGACCCCCAACAGTAATACAAGCTTCTGCTCTCCTCATCAAAG